CTCCTCCTCCTCCTCCTCCTCCTCCTCCTCCTCCTCCTCCTCCTCGGAGGCACTCCCTCCACCTCCACCCTACACTTCCCAGGTCGAGGGCCGACGACGCCTCGGGAGGCGCCAGCGCGGGAAGGGGGACGAGGGCGGGCCCCCCCGTGAGCGCGGGAGCGAGCGGCGCGGCGACAGCCTCGGGGGCCCCGCCGAGGGGCCGGGGGACCAGGGAGACGCAAAGCAATCCTTGTCCATAGTTCCTGGGTTTTCCTCTCCCCCTTTGAGTCCCGTCGGTTCCACGGTTCTCACGAGAAATAGTGTTGTCATTGATGTGTGTGTGCGTGTGTGTGTGTGTGCGTGTGTGTATGTGTACATTTATGTGTATGTGTATGTGTATGTGTATGTGTTTGTGTATGCGTATGTGTATGTGTATGTGTATGTGTATGTGTATGTGTATGCGTATGTGTATGTGTATGTGTGTATGTGTATGCGTGTGTGTATGCGTATGTGTATGTGTATGTGTATGTGTATGTGTATGTGTATGTGTATGTGTATGTGTATGTGTATGTGTATGTGTATGTGTATGTGTGTGCGTGTGCTTGTGAGGGTGCGCCGCTGGATATCCCCAAGGGGGGGGGGGGTAGGACCCCCCCCCTCCCCCCCTCCCCGATCCGTCGTCGGGGAACCCCCCCCCATCCCCCCCTTCCCCGATCCGTCGTCGGGGACCCCCCCCCCTCCCCCATTTTCCCTGACCCGTCGTCGGGGACCCCCCCCCTCCCCCCCTTTCGCCACGCCGCCCCTTGACTCCGGAACCTACCCCCGCCACCCCTACCCGTAGTCCTCACCCGAACCCAAACCCCTAATCCTATCCCCAACCACTAACCCCAGCCCCAAAGAGTACTCACTACTCACTACTCACTACCCACTACGGACTACTCGCTATTCGCTGCTCACTTCTCACTACCCCCTACTCACTACTCACGAATCACTACTCACTATCCACTACTCATTACCCACCACCCACTAGTCGCTACTCACTACTCCCTACTCACTACTCCATCCTCCTTACTCACTACTCACTCCTCACTACCCACTACTCAATACTCACTACTCACTAAGCACTACTCACTACTCCCTACTCACTACTCACTAATCACTACTCATTACCCACTATCCACTACTCACTACTAACTACTCATTGCCCACAAATCACTACGCACTACGCACTGCTCGCTACTCGCTACTCCCTACTCCCTACACAATACTGACTACACAATACTCAGAACTCGCTACTCGCTACTCCCATACTCGCTACTCAATACTCACTACTCACTCCCCGCTACTCACTATTCACTACTCACTACTTACTACTCCCTACACACTAGGTCACTACATAGTCTCTAGTCACTAGTCAAAACTCACTAGTCACTAGTCACTAGTCACTAGTCACTACCCACTACCGACTACTCACCAATCGCTACTCACTACCCACTATTCGCTACCAACTTCTTACTACTCATTGCTCACTACTCCCTACTCCCTACTCCCTACTCCCTACTCACTACTCGCTACTCCCTACTCGTTACTCACTCATCACTACCCACTACTCACTACTGACTACTCTCTACTCACTACTCACTACGCCCTACTCGCTCCTCACTACTCACTACTCGCTACTCCCTACTCGCTACTCACTACCCACTGCCACTACCCACTACTCTCTAGTCATCACTACTCACTACTCACTACTCACTACGCACTACTCAGTACTCAGTACTCAGTACTCACTACTCACTACTCACTACTCACTACTCGCTTCTCACTACTCACTACTCACTACCAACTACTCACTACTCACTACTCACTACTCACTACTCACTACGCAGTACCCACTACTCACTGACCACTACTCGCCACCCACTACTCACTACCCACTACTCACTACCCACTACTCATTACTCCCTACTCCCTACTCAGTAGTCACTACTCGCTACTCACTACTCACTACTCACTATTCGCCACTCACTACTCACTTATCAGTACACACTACTCACTATTCACTACTCACTACTATCCACTTCCTACTCCCTACTCCCTACTCGCCACTCACTACCCACTACTCACTACCCAATACTCACTACTCACTACACACGAACTCACTACTGAACTACTCACCACTCCCTACTCCCAACTCCGTACTCCCTACACGAGGGGGGGGGGGGTCCGACCCCCCCCCCCCCTCCCCTTCCAGCGCCAAAGGGGGGAAGGGGGGGGGGTCCCAGACGCATGTGGGCCGAATCCCAACCAACTGGGCCCAATCCCAACCAACGGGGACCAATCCCAACCGGTGCGAAAAGCAAACTGGACCCAATCCCAACCTGCTTGGGATAGCCTCACAATAAGAGTGTAGAGAAGCCCAAGACGACTGTGAAGACCAAGTGGCACCTCTTATGTCAACGCAGAGGTTCTGGAAGCCAACATACGTACCAGAGTTGGAATTGGTCTCAGTTTTGGTCTGCGCACGAGCACTGTGTTAAGATGAGCGAGAGGGCACCGAAGCGTAAGCAAAACCGCACCGAATTGCATCGATTCTAAAATATGCTAAATGGATCCTCCTAGTAGTAGTAGTAGTAGTAGTAGTAGTAGTAGTAGTAGTAGTAGTAGTAGAACTAGTACTAGTACTAGTACTAGTACTAGTACTCGTAGTCGTAGTAGTAGTAGTAGTAGTAGTAGTAGTAGTAGTAGTAGTAGTAGTAGTAGTAGTAGTAGTAGTAGTAGTAGGCGGTCCCATCTTGCCCCTGCTGGAAACGGTTGAAGGCCGGGCCCCCGCTCCTCCCTCCCAGGGAGACGGCGCGGCAGGGAGCGCCGGGGCCGCCCCGAGGCTCCCTGCCGCCGCCGCGCCAGGGGCGCATGGCCCAGGCTCACGAGGGACCCCCCCTGTGACAGCCGAGGCAGCGGCGCCGACCACGGCTGACATCTTGCAGCCGCCACTCGACGCTCCTGCGGATGCGGACGATGACGGCGGACTTGAAGCAGGCGTCTACGACGACTACCTGGACGATCAGGCGACGGACGAGGACGCGCACCACGAGGTTGGCTTTGTCAATCTGGATTGGTGGGATGCTATTGGGTGGGGCCGCATCCTGCTGCAG